AAAAAAAAAAACTGATTGCCCAGTTTTAAAGTACATACAAACATATATCGTCGCTTAGAGTACAAAACCGCGTATCAACAAAATGCAAAACCGCGTATGTGAGGTTGCATAAATTATTTTCTAGAGAGTAAAAACACTCTCGCGTTTCAAAATGGTTCTCATTTTTATAAAGCTACGTATTTCTGGCTAGTATATTTCAGGGCGAATGGATAAGGATTGAGGCAAGAGCAATGTCGGTTACGCGGTTTTGCAATACGACGATATGTATATTTAGGCTTGTTCATTTTAGGATTTCCCGGAATATGAAGGTGGTTTTTTTTTTTGAATCTCAATACTGTCAAAAAATGTCCTTTATTTGAAGACGAATGAATATGAACTACCAAACCGACTTCCGGTTTCGACCGGAAGTGGATAAAACTGACCGGAAGTTAAAATTTTTGAATGGGGCATATATGGTTTTACACAGGTTCTTCGGAAAAAATACAAAACTTTTGTCGAAAACTTTTTGCTGTAGTCATTTAAGTATGTAGTCACTCACACAAATCGATAGTAAAGCTTTACTTACGGAAAGGTATGTGTATAATAATTTACTAAAGGCAATTCATTGGTATGGATGGCGTAACGCACTGACGAACACAAAGGCAAACACTGCGGACAATATAAAGCGTCCTCCATTTCAAGTTCCAGTCCAGGGATGTATGCGCGTTCGGTAATAACGTTGGACCATTTAACTACATAAATATGAGTCAAAAATATAAAAATATTTACGTATGGTTATTAAAAATTTGCGGACTAGACTTTTAAGCACTCACAATAATAACGTTCCAAACAAGGCTTATGCCGCAAAGTACAGTAAGCAAACTCTCTATCCACGTCAAGCAATTCCTCCGGATAAGTGAACAAGAGACAATTACATAACACCAACATGCTATTCATGCGACAACGTGTAATGCATTTATTGTGGCTATACTTTTTGCCATAGATACGAGGTCGCTCATCCTCAAATAAACATTTTCGCTATACAAAGGAAAAGGCAAAGGAGAAGACAAAAAGTAGTAAGATGTTGAGTAACAGCGCTCATAGGTATGTAAGTATGTATGTATGTATGCAGTTATGTAGTTATGCAGTATGTAGAAGCAATTAAAGTAAACTTTTGACGACATTAATGCAATGTGTCTGCAGGATTAAATTAATCCATACTTACTGCTAATGCCGGTAGAATACGCGCTTCGTGAACGGTTTGCATAATGCTCGGCTCTATTGAAATGTATGTGTGCACACCAGTTGGTGTGAAACGTTCTCTTATCGAACCGCTCGAAGTATCTGCATAATATCCATGTGGATATATATAAAACTGTAGTACGCATATAGAATAATTGTGGAGAAGAGGAAATTGGGGAAAGTTAGATAATTATATTTAACAAGAAGTGTCTATTACTGCGTATCAAGATAATGCCAAGCCTCATATGGGAGTTGCCAAAATTTTGCAGGAGAGCGTAAAAACTGTTTTTTATTTCCAAAAGGTTCTCTCGATATTTTCTTATGAATTGATAAGGCTTGATGGCAGGAGCTTCCCATGAGCAAATCTAATTTTTGGCACAAGTGTCAATTTAGAGGTTTTTCAGGACCACGATACGCAGTTTTTCACTTTAAACGACGATATATATCATATTAGATATCAGCCTCAAGATCTAATTTATCCGACAAAAGTTACACTAAACAAAACATATACAAGTGTATATGTATATATTAAGGTGCTCTCGGTGCCGCATCGGTAGTATAAAATTTATTTTATTTTAAGACTTCCGGCAAAATATTTCGCATAAATATTAAGTTTTACGTGAGCTGAACCGATTTAAAAATACTCCCAAAAATCCAGTTTTTATAAATAAAATAAGGTTTTGAAAAAAAAAGTTTCTAAGAAGATACCTCAGATGGATAAAATAATAAAATAAAGTGAAATATAATAGATTTTACAATTCTCGCGAAAACCCCGAAATTTTATACACATAATAAAATCTTTTTAAAATGTAAAAAATAAAGAATATAATCAGAGATTTAATTTCATAAAAATAAGGTGATTTCTTTAAAAGAATTGCCCGAAGAGGTACCGTAATACGTAAATTAGGGTTATAAGCGCATACTCACCATAAAACCGGAAGAAATCGATTCCTTGAAAAAGTCATCACCGCTTGAAGCATTTAGTAAAAGTACTAAACCTTTAGATGCCGTAAAAAGACTAAGCCTTGTAGGACGTGGTTTTGCATACCTAAAGAGAAAAATGTATGTACACAGAGAAAAAAAACTACTAAATAAAATGGAACAAAACTAATAAGATTGCTCTATGGGTATTCTTCAAATCTTGGATATAAAATCTATAAGCGACTATGCGATTTTTATATATAAGGTTCATAATAGTGACAGTGACAATTTTGTCATGTCAATCATTTGCCGTATTTTCAGTGACAAAAATAATTTCAATTAAAATAATTAATTGTTTTAGAATTATCGGGTTTTAAAATATCGTTGACAAAATCATAGCTACTAAAATTTAATTTTTCTTTTTAAATCGTATGCGAATGAGCAAATTTTCATAGTTAAAATGGTAAATGCTGCGTTTTACAGTGTGACCCAGAATAGTTAAGTGGCAAGTTCAAATCACTTGAATCTCTCTTTAATTGTTTGACGTAAACGTTTGAAGAACGGTTTGCAAGCGGCAGACCTAGGTCCATTTCGTCCGAATACCATTGAATTGATCAATATTTAGACCTCTCGGGACACAGATAGATCGATGTTAATAAATGTATGGATTTATGTGATTGACGAAACAGATTTTAAAGAAAATAGGTGTAGCATTGTAGGAGTACGTACCGCTGTAGACAAATGAATTGCTAGATTTCTATATCATTTACTTTTAAAGTTATGTAAATAGATTTCTGTGTGGTTATGTGTAAGTAGTGAAAGAGTTACTCACAAGCCATCAGCATTGAAGGAGCAGCAAAATCCACTCGCTGTCAGTGTTTCTGTAAACTTCGTGGCGCAATCTATATCCTCGCCAGCCAAGCGACAACGCACGAATAGATCCTTACAATTTGGAGTTAACTAAATGTAAATGAATACGAAACAACTAATTTTTGAATATTGAATTCTACATCGGCGGACAAAAATGGATGAATGGTGTTTCGCAATATTTGCAATGAATTTCAAGCAAAAAATTTGTCATACTATATATATTTTTTTTTAATTTTTATGCTTTAACAAAAACTATATAAATCACACTTTTAAACTTTATACATAACTTAGAAAAATTCCGAATTTGTATCTTAGTTTCGAACTTTTTAACCAGAATTTTTAGAAATTTTTCGGGTATGCAGTTAACAGGCTTATAAAAATTTAGTAAAGTAAGTTCAAGTTTTGAGCGCCTAACAAATCGCATTGACTTTTTAATAATTTTTTTAGCTGACTTCTTTTGCGGTTCTTTTCATATAAATAGCGAAATTTAGGAAAACTGGCGTTGACTTTTTTTAATTTTATTTCGCAAACGGTCTTGCGCATATTCGTCCACAATAAATTCATGTTTATATGGAAAAAAAGTGCAAAACGCCGTCAACAAAAAAAATATATCAAAAATTAATTAGATTTTTTAGCCGCTCAAAACTTGATTTAATTTTTTTTGAATTTCATAAGCCTGTTAACTCAGAAAAAATTCTAAGAATTCTGGCTATGAAGCTCGAAATTTAGGTAAAAATGTGTGGATTTTTTCTACGTTCTGTATAAAATTTGAAAGTGTGGTTTATATAGTTTTTTGTTAAGCATGAACCATATTTTCATAGAAAAATATCAAAGAAAAATTCAGCTTGAAAAACATTGTAAATATTAAAAACGAAACACCATTCATTCATTTTTGACCGCCACTGTATATCTTTATAAATTGGAAACTTTAACAGCAGAAAAAATTAATTGGTGCCATTATATATATATGTAAATATGTGCATATGTATGTATATATTTATTCATGGAAGGATTTATTCTCCTTCTTCTGACGATTTCGAAGTCTTCAAAAAATTTCCGGGGCAAGCCAGGCTGATTACCAAATTTATCAACTGTGACAAAAAGGAAAGGTTTCTCAAATTTTTGAGCTCAAAAATCTGCAAATATGTATATTCGGAATCCTTATTTTTATTAGCACTCCAACTGTTTGTCGGTTTGTGCCTAGACCAAATCGTCGCCAGGTGCCCCTTTCCTTTGCGGATTTGCGTCAGTTATTTACCCGAGTGCCGACAGATCCTTCTGGACTTGGTTTAAAGAGCCTCATTTTTGTTCGTAGAGAGAGGGTTCTGCTTTAAAATTGCCTACCGAGCCCATCGTAGCACCGGTTGGCAAGAGTTATTCTTCACTTCCAGGCTGGCATTATTTATGGTGTTTATGCTGGATCCTACAAATGCCAAGTCCTTCATTACTTCAAGATTATAACTGCCAACTGTGACGTGCGTCCCAAAAGGCATGGACTCTTCATTTGTTGGCAGATTGTACTTGTCTTCGTTCACCTCTTTAGCTTCTTTGTCTATGCTGGAAAGTGCTGCACTTACGCCTTTAAGATGCAGGCCAACGATATCGATACAATCTGGATACGCCAGCAGGATATTTAGTTTATTGTATATCGCGCAGATCAGATTAGCAGCTCTTATTACGCTTTCAAGCATCACATTAATAAAGTCGCATGAGAGTGAATCGCTTTGCCTAAAACCTCGTGCTCGACGCCACTCTACATAGCATAGTAGTTCTGCGGGTGGACTTACCAGGTCTGAAGCCACACTGCTAAGGTTGTTTTTGTTGTAGCGGCACTACTAAGCACCGACTATTTCGATTTATCTATCGGTAGGCGCAAGAAACGGGCAGTTTCGACGGATCAGATCAAAAGGAGAGGGATGTTAGTTTAGTTGGATTGAGCTGGCATGTGAAGATGTGGTTGGTGTCGTGCGGGGAGTTTCCACATGCCCGACACTCATTGGAGATATTGGGGTCGAGTCTGGACAGGAGACAGCTGCAATATCCACACCTAACTTCGCCAGAGTAACGCGGGTTTCTTGGAAGTTGAAGCTCCGTGTCTGCTACAGGCGGTGATTGGGCTGCGATCACGCGTCTGTTGAGGTTCTCGCGTCTGTGACTTCCCACTAGGAACTGCTCGCTGAGAATTTTATTATGCTCCCTTACGGGCAGTATTTTGGGCTTCGCTGTGCAAGCGGCGCTCAGGTAACATCAGAAGGCGTGCCTGTAGCTTCGTCCACTGTGTCCAACTAGTCTCCCCGGTGACCAAACAGGCGCAGCAAAGTTCAGAGCCAGTTCAATAAGTTGGTTCATGAAGGGCTTCAGTGTTTAACATAGTATCGTCGACAGGACCTTATAGGCAATAATAGTAGGCTTATTTCGCGATAAACGCCGCAAACCGCGGCATATGCATATCTTCTTGTGGATTGGACAAAGTTCACTGAGATTCCGGTCTTCGGATGTGTATTCATCAGACCAAATTTTGCTTAACAGTTGGTACATGCGCCCGACCAGCTCTTCGCCGCTGACTTTAACCAACTCGGCTCCTGGGGCCTTGTCGTTTTTTAACCGCCTTATTGATGTCCCTTTGTCCCTTTACTTTGGTGCGGGTGCTCTTTCACCAAAGGCGCCTTGTCGTTTTTTAACCGCCTTATTGATGTCCCTTTGTCCCTTTACTTTGGTGCGGGTGCTCTTTCACCAAAGGCGACATCTGTGTCGCTATTCAAAAGGGCTTAGAAGTGTTTCCTTCATATCTCAAGTGAACTGGGGATATGTGTTACCAGATTTCTATCTTTGTCTGTACAGTAACCAGGCCCGGCCTTGAAACCATTGAATTGCTCCTTTATTTTCTGGTAGATTTTACAACCACTTCTCCCACAGCGGCAAGAAGAGTTTGGGAAATGGATGAAGAGAAAAAGGTTTGAGAATCGATTGCGAAATTTTACGGCTGTACATTGTGACTGTAACTTCTCGACGGCTGTCGAACTTTCGCCGCACTATATGGCGTACGTTCTACATTGCACATAGACGCATTCGGACCTTAGCTGCAACAAGATAGTGATCCGAGTCGACGTGGGCTCCCTGGATAGAACGCACATCTAAAATGTTCGAAGCGTGTCTTCTCTCTATCACAACATGATCAATTTGGTTCTTCGTTCTTTGATCAGAGGACACCCAAGTTACTTTGTGAATGTCTTGATGCTCGTTTCTGGTACTAAATACTAGCTACCACATTTCTTGACGTGTTGTCATGAAGTCCGAAGGGGGAGCGCTCATATGCCTCGTATAACTTTTCTTTAGCCTCATTATCCTTGTCCTTGGTTAGAGCGTGCGCACAAATGATGCTTATGTTTTTGAATTTAGCTTTGACGAGGATCGTCGCAATTCCTTCACTGATTGTAGTGGACCTGGAGAAGAGGTGTGGAAGTCTCCATCCAGCCCCACCAAATTTGTGCGACGTCTCATGGCAGCTGTAGTAGATGTCACACGCTGCGCATTTCATTCAGAATAAATGTGCCTAAATTAGTCTATTGGCATTCCTACTCTCACTCTAACTTGAAATAGCGATAACTCAGGATTGGTGATGCGCCGAAAAAAAGTAACAAACCTTCTTTTATAGGCAATGTATGATCTACAACTGTCGGCCGCTGTGGTGTAGTGGTAAGCAGTGCGCGCTTCCACTCCGCAACGCCTGGGTTCAAGCCCTGGTCAAAGCAACATCGCAAAAAATATAGAAAAAAGGTTTTTTCTTAACAGCGGTCGTCCCTCGGCAGGCAATGGCAAACCTCCGAGTGTATTTCTGCCATGAAAAACAGCTTCTCATAAAAATACAATCGCCGTTCGGAGTCGGCGTAAAACTGTAGGTCCCTCCGCTTTGTGTGACAACTTCAAGGCGCACGCCACAAATCTGAGGAGAAGCTCGGCCAAACACTAACATATGTGTAAGCGCCAATCTATTATTATTATTATGATCTACAACTGCTGTTTATCTATTTTCTACGGGTCAGTATGCTTTTTACCAGCTGCAGAACCAACCTCTAAGCTGTAAAACACTACTCTCTTCAGTATCGTGGTGAATACGAGAAGACTATGGTTTGTCTGCTCCTAGCAATTTTTCTTCATAGAGTTAGATAATATAATTCAGTTGTGGACATTTAATCCAATTCTTCTGAACCGAATTAGATGATTTTGTTTCATATATACATACATAGATATGTAGATAGATATGAAGATAAATGTAATATATTTTATTTCGGGTTGAAAAGCTCTATTGAAATACTTGGATTCTTTTCAACATCAAGTCTACAGTGCCACCCGAATATGTTTTTCCATACCACTTTCATGCGATCTCTGGTGTCATAAAAACTCTCCGCGTCCGTGGTATCGTATATATCCAAAAAGTTTTGAAATTCTAAGAAATCTTCATAATCGTCGTCATTTATATCTTTTCTAGAATATGGGCGACTTAATTTCTTTATCTGATTATAAAAGTAATTGACGCCGCGCTTTTGTGGATCTTTCATGTTACTGAAAAATTAAACATGAATTGCACACTTATATTAGTCAAATTTAAAGAAAATATTTTAAACTGAACTTACAGCTTCTCAGCATATCTATTAACCGAGGCATTCGAAATGCGATTCAGCGAACAAATCGAAATGGTGGGGAAGGGAACTTTGCTGATGGGAAACAATGAATCATACATAACGGTACTCAAGAGTTGTCCCTCAAATATTTGTATTTTGCCAAGGAATGCAATCAGAACGCTCAGCGTTGTAATGTGGAAAATAGTCCAAAAGAAACTGCAAGTAAAAGCAGTTGATTAAATTCTCATTCCAATACATAATTCTGACAACTGAAATGACAGCCGACAATTTCAGAGCTATGAATGACACTCACTCACTCACTCACCGTTCGTGAAAACGCCGTCGCGGCTCAACTAATTTGTTGTAACAATGAAAGGATACATTCTGCAGGAAATCCTTCAACGCCTCGGTAAATGCGATCTTTCGTTTGTGTTGACGTCGTCGGCCTGCAGGCGCTGTCGGCTGCCACCAAGGTGCGCGACCAAGCATAAATGGTGGATCCGTTGTAAGTGGCGCTCCATGCCGCGCTCTATGTTGTTGCTGCATTGACATTGTTGTAGCCATTGATGTGTCGATACTTGCCACCTTCCCGTGCGTATTCGTTTGCTGTTGTCTCTTCTAAAAGGATTCAATGGCTTTATTCTGTAATATGTACCAACGTTGACAATGTTTTGCTTCGACTGTGACTGCGAACGCAATTGCCGTTGTTTTTATATGCTAAAAACTCCCACCACCAGTTGGTTGAATGGTAGTGTTGCAAGGACTGGGGGTCAGGATTATTAGAGGCATATGAGCATTTCGGATGCCTTGTACCTCTAATTGAAATCGTTTTCTTTGGGCACATTAGTGGCAGTTAATTACTTTGGTGTCGCCAGTTGCCGGTATGCGGTGTATGTTGGTGTCGATGACTTTGCACGTGTGTGTGTGTATGAATGTTTTGTATGCGTATTGAACTAATTACGCAGCATTATGGCTGATAGGTACCGTGCTTACTGTTTCAATCAAGTTTTACAGCCCGACTCCTTTGTTAATCGTTGTAAGTCATTGAATATCGCAAATGAAATCAGTGCATCGTTGAAGGCATCGAAATCGCACTACCTCTTTACAGGGAATTGGAATTCTCAATGACGAGTTTTGTACGTAAATTGCTGTATGTTCAAACAGTTAATTGGCAATAATCTCTGGTGCTTTTATTAACAACCCGAATTGAATGCAAGTAAAGAAGTAGGGTTGCAGTGGCGTATATTGGGGTGCACAGTTACAGTTGCTCGACTGGGTAAGGTGCCTCTGTCCGATGCCAGTGAATGTCCTCGGACACTCGGTGCAAGAAAATACTCAAAGATTTAATCATAGTTAAAATTTTTCATATTATGAAACTAGTCAACGAATCTTCTTTTTTGGTTTTTCTTTTTTTCTTGCCTTTTTTGCGATTCTTAGTGCCTTTTCCTGCTTATTTCGTTATTTTATTTAGCCTGCTTTATCGGTTTTTAGGTCCTAGAAATTTGTTCCTTGGTAATTATTTAGTGATCTAGCCATAAAATATTTTAATAAAAAATTGTTATTTCCATTGGGAAGCAGCAAAATTAAAATTTTATTTGCCAATTGCAAACTCTGAGCTTTGATTACTACGAGAGACCCGCGCTACTCTGGTCTTATTACGGTCAGGATATTGTAGAAGTCCCAACTGCTACTCGTCTAAACTCGATCCCAATATCCCTAATTAGTATACGGTATGTGGAGGCTCCCCACGACACCAACCATCTCTTCACACCACAGCTCTCTCTCTTTGGCTCGACCCCACCGATACAGCTCGTTTCTTCGGCCTACCGTTAGTTGAGCTTGACAATAACGATTGATGGACAAATCGAAACAGAACAGAAAAATTCAAAACTGAGTGAATAGAGTGGCCTTACGTTTTCGCTGTGAATTGGTGGTTTTGCTGAAAATTTCAAAGCAATCCCATTAATATTAAAAAAATTAGGCTACTGTAAGTAATAAAATGTCGTACATACACTCGGTTTTGATCGCCAGTGTACATACTAGAGATGGGCGGGGGATATCGGGACCCGCCGGACCTACGGTACTGATTTCAAAATGGCCGGGATGACCAGTATCGGGAAGATCCCGATAAAGCCCGCAACCTCCGCAAATTCAGAAAATCTTCCTTAAAAACGTTTTATGAAATAATCACTTTTTTGTGTTTTATTGACATGGAAACGAAAGCAAGGAAAAAAATAAAATAAGATATGGGAATTAATCATAGTGGTAGGTTTCCGGACCCTAGCGCGGTACAATTCGGAAAAACGCCGGGATGGGCGGGTTCGGGACTAATATTGAATTTCGGTATGGGCGGGATCAGAATTGAAATTTTTGTCTCGTGCCCGTCTCTAGTACATATAGCAAAATCTACAGTTAATAATATACGGTCGAATTTTCGAATTCATTGCTACGGTATCCACTACCAAATAAATAGCAACCATGTGGTTTTATAAATACTGTGCAGTATGTATTGAGTGAAAAATAAAAAATAAAAATAAAACACATTAAAAACATTGCCTATCATAGCCTGTCCAGCATACAAATTCCGCAAGGAGTTTTTGGGTAGAAGCATAGATAGTAGATAGCATAAGACGCGACAATATAGGTACATATTCGCCAAAAAGAGCAAATGGTTTGGAATTCTGTTGTCAGTTAGTCGTTACTTGAACTAATCTGCTCTTTTTCCTGAGCGCAAGACCAAAAAAACTGATAATTCTAAACTTATTGTTTTCTAATTAATTACCAAATATAAAAATTTCTAACCAATGGCGATTACCTGTTAACAATTTCGCTGACGGAATTTGTTATAACAAATGTTATAATTATCCTAAAAAAAATACCTTTTAGGGCTCAAAATTTTTAATTCGAAATTTAAAAAAATAAGAAAATTTATTTTAGTATGAAAATGCGATTAGATAAATCTATTTTTGATATTTTTACCTTAATTTTTTTCTTTTTAAATTTTTTTTTAAGGTTTTTTAATTTATATGCTGGAAATTGTACCCCGGCCATAAATATTGCGCCCTAAGAAAAACTTCTGTTACGGAAATTTATTTTAGTATGAATAATACGATTAGATAATTTTTAATTTTTTTTAATAGATTTTTTTTCGTGACAAATTTTTTTCTTTCTAAAATTTTTATTGAATGAATTTATCTGCTGAAAAATATCCCGAGCCAAATATTTGCGCCCTAAGAAAAAATTTTTTCACGAAAATTTATTTCAGTATGAAAAATACGATTAGATAATTTTTAGTTAAGTTTGAAAATTTTTTTGGTGAAAAATGTATTTCTTTCTAAGAAAGTTGTCTTTAGTTTTTTGAAATTATCTGCTGAAAAGTATACCCCGATCCAAAAATTTTGCGCCCTAAATACACATATATATATATTTTTTTTTGATAATTAGAACATGTCTTATGAATAGGGCTCGAAATCCCATGCACTAAAAAATCGAAAATATGCGCATATAATATGCATCCAAAACTCAAAATATGCGTTATAAACAAGTAAAATATGCAAATGAAAATATCTCTTACTAATATATGTAATATTTTACTGCCGGTACAAAAATAAATAACACATGTATTTTTACGACAAAATTACGAAAGCAATTTACATCAAAATACAAAGAGCTTTTAAGGCGTTCCCGCTGTCATAAAAAACGTATAGCAGGCCTGAGAACGCTTGACAAATTTGGGGAGGAGTTCTAACTTAACTATGACGCGAACTAAGAGTTGTCTAACGTATATACTTCATTCTTAGAAACATTTATCTTCGTTTACACATGTCTTACATTACATATGTATGTGTAATTGATATGATAAAGTTTATTTTTTCTGGAAAGTGAGACTTGAAGAAATTCCAAATCTTTTAAGGACATATGTAAAGTTCCATTTCCTCTTTGTTTCCTTCCTTTTTGTCATTTATATTTTTACGTTTATCTTGTCTGATTGCTGATTGAATAGCAAGTGCAATGTATTTTACGAAGAAGAATCCCAACTCAAAAACTGCAAGAATTGAGAAACCTAAAAATATTGAGGTGACATTACCAATGGTGCCTGAAAATGAGAATCAAAAGAGTAATTATAAATATTGACGTAACCTTGAGTAGAAGAAGTTAGAAGTTGATAATATTACATTTTACATTTTTTACATATTAAACAATGCAACACTAACAAAGTCATGGGAATAAAATCAATTAATTGCATAAATTTAGGGGGGGTCAAAATGTAAATAAGTAATTTTTAAGAAAAACAAAAAAAAAACAGTACAGCCAACTTGAATTCTCATATACAAATTTAGAAGTTCTTCATGAAGGAAGGAATAATCGAAAACTGCTCACGTGGTCCAAGGTTATAGGGTAAGAAAAAAATATTCCGATTATTTGAAAGCCTTCTTCATTTTTTTTAGATCGGTTAATAAATCCCAAAGGGGCTGGTTACCAGAATTTTCAAATATTTTTAGTTATGCAGTTTTAATGCACAGTCAGAAAAAAATCTAAATTCAACACGAATTCCGAGACAATTAAAACTTCCATTAAAATTAAGTGAGCTAAACAACTAAACATTTTGTTAATAATTAAAAAAAAAATCTTCTATTTAGGTGCGAATTTCTTATACATAGCATTTTCAATTTTTCTAGTGATTTTTTTCGTTTTGGCGTTCACAATTGTTTTCAACTCGTTTTTATTATGTAACATTTATTAACAGGAACAGGATAATCAATATTCTTTAAAAGTAAAATTTTTCGGCACTTTGCACTCAAAAATTTTATGTAAACAATTAAAAATTTAAAAAAATCGGACTCGATAGGTTTCTTATAAATTTTATTGGCTTATAAAATCGGTTGAAAAATTTAGGCTCTGGACTGAACAATAAATTCCAGCTTTAAAGAGAAATTTTAAAAATAAAGAAAATTATATATTGTCATTTTGGGATGTTAAATCTCAAAAGTCGTATCGGCATTCGTAACAATGCTGGTCCGAAAATTCTTTGTAAATGCTATTTCATTCCATATGCCAATATACCCTTTTGCTGCAAAATTCGCGGCCATCGCCATAGAAATATAGTTAGCTTTCGTCAAAGAAAATATACAGATAATAGTGACTTTTAGCTCCTTATATTTAGATACATTTCCTGCAGGGTAATTATGTAACGTCAACTTTTTAGAAGCACACTTTGGTAAGCCAAATACGTGTAATCACGGTGAGGGGTTCTGGCAATTTTTTGTTTTTTCACATCTATTTCACCATATTTTGATTAATAGAAAAATACTGATAAAAATAAAATATTTCACACAAACAACAAAAAATATATCCGATAATCGCATGAGGCCAATTGCCTGAAAATTTTAAAATGCGCTTAGTGCCATGCTGCTACTATGATGAACAAATTATAGCTGCACCAAATCTTCACAAGTTTTAAAGTATAATTTTTGCTGTTATTTAATTTTGGTTAGTTATTTATAGTTCATTCTTTAACAACATCCGTACAAATACAAGTTTAAAGGCAGTGTCACACGATTTGTTGGTATGTGCCAAAGTTTGATACAAATCGTTGCCCAATTGTGTGAACACCCACCCAAATATTTTTCTTTATCCCAATCACGAAAATTAATTTGTTGAAATTTTTCAATAGAACATTGCTGTATTGTACCAATCTTTTGACTACAAAAAAAATCCCCCATTTTTTTACCAATAGCCCAATATAAAAATGTACAAGTCTGTACAAGTGAACCAATCGAGTGGCACTGCCTTAAAAATTTATGCAATTTAAAAAAAAAATCAACAAATTTGCGTTAAAATTGCGAATTTTTTGATAAGATTCTGAGTATGCTGTTGTGTATTGTTGTTGTTGTGTTGTGTTGAATTCTAGTAGAATAAAGTACAAATTTCAAATGGCCAAAAATGAAGATCTTTTTTTTCGAATTTTTAAAAAGCTCAATATTTGTACAAAAGTTTGTTGAATTTTTTTTTTAATATTGCACAAATTTTTTAACTTGGATTTACACGGGTTTTGTTAAAGATTGAACTATATTTTTATAAAATAAAATAACAAAAATTAAATAACAACAAAAATAATACGTTAAAATTTGGCAAAAAATGGTTCGACTATAATTTTTTCAGAACAAGCAAGCTTCCAGCATGAGTTGATACGTGGTCAAATCTGTTTAGCCCATATATATACATACATACATATCTAGCAATGTTGTTATATGTTCAAGGGACATTTGGCTTTAAAGAAGATTCTGAGGACAATGTACATTCATATGTTTAGTTTAGGTAGTCCCATCAATATTGCCCTGCATTAGTTAGCTACTCATTGAATGGGTATTCAATTA